TAATAAACACAACAGAACTGTATTTGCATTGTCTCTTGGAGTTCTTTGGGCTGAACCTGACCATTCTTAACTGAGCAGACTTGATTATAAATTTGGCAGTTTTGCTAACTATAGATACATTAATGCCTTGAAGGAAGTGGTTCCCCCTTCATCACAATGCTATTTTGTCTCTGTTGGAACTCACATCCAGGTTACCAGTATCAAACTATCACTACTCTTGCTTTAAAAGACAATCAGTCTTCGAGTCTGCATACTATTTGGAAAACTACAGATGTTCTCTTTTCAGGCAGGCCCTGAGATGACCAGAGTTGAGCTGGTGTGTGATCCTTCTTTTTAAAGTATGACTATTGTTTTGTATGGAATTATTCTTGCTCCACCAACCCCTCTCGCATTTCTTAGGGAAGGTTGGAAGGATTGAGCAGAATAAATAATCCAGAATCAATATCTTGATGTGTGAAAGTACAATAAATCTATTTTAGAGGTTAGGACTGTCTTGGCTAAGGTGGCATCTGATGAGGAAAGATTGTGTCCCATTCATTTGTGAAGTGAACCAGGATGGTACTACACCAACAATTGGTGAATTGTCACCCCTTAGTTCATCCTTGCCAAGTACATGTGGGATAAAAGCCTATGTTGTTTTTTGCTAACATTATAAATGGGTATAAAAACCAGACTATTACTAAAAGAACTGAAGAATTACGGAACAAAAGAATGCTGAAAGTAATAACATTAAGCATGCTGTTGAAATAAGGTTTACACTTTGGTTCAAAGTGTGGTCTCTTTTTCTAACATGATTGTAGCATTGAGTGTTTCACTCTTGCTCAGCAGCTTCTAATTCTGGAACACGTTTCATATATTTTTCTCGGAGCTAAGATTGCTATGTTGACTATTACACCTTAATTTCAGGCTTTGTAAAACTGCTTTTTTGGGGGGGGGAGGAAACATACATGGTCTTTCCCCCCCAGAATGTTTGGTAGTTGTAATCGCTTTCTCCGTATTGACATCCTCCAGATGTGTTAGAGAAGACTGACACTGTAGTTCTTGCTTCCAATTTGCAGACATCATTTTAAGGAACATTAACTCTGATTAAACTGATATCCCAAGGACATGCCACTTCCTCCTGTTCCTTAATGTGTGGATTGCTAACCGACTGGTTTTGGTAGTCGTGGATTGTTGTGATGTCCAAATGGGCAAACTATAGCTTGTGCTTTACATCTAAACGATATTTTGAAAGGGCTTCTCCAGCCACGGATCAACAGTGGAACTAACCATAGCCTTCTAATTCAAATGCCATAGCACCATCATAGCTTTTGAAGGCACCTTGAACAACAGTGCCTTTCTTCATAGCAGTCCAAGTAAAGGTTGCTTTTTTTTTTAATGGAAATGGGTCAAACAGTTGTTTCAGTATAGCCCCTTAATTCTTTAAATAAGGCAGAACATGTTGTGGCATTCCTTCTAAGATGGTTGGAAGCTTCCAGATGTTTAGACCCTTCAGAGACAAAGGAATATTCCCTACTACTGATCTTCTGCAAAATAAGGTGTGGTAGGCAGACTTCTGCAGCTATGAAACACCAACCCATTTAATTGAACCCATTTACTTAGATGTTCCTTCCTTTAAGTAGCACTGGAGAAAGTTGGTCAACAGCTGTGGAACAAAATGTTCATAGTGCTTCATCTACACTATAATCCTTTAAGGGTTAGGAAGCAACTGGGGAGAGGAGCATTCGATCGTTTTTGGAGGGAGGGAGCAAGATTGTATCACAAATATGGGCAAGACCGAGATTATTCATTTTTCTCAAGTGGTGGGAAGGGTTGTCGGTGGCATCAGATCCATTGACTGCAATGCCTGATATCCCACTGGTGATGGTTATATCCAGCCCAAACTATCTTGAAAGAAAGCAATGGCAAACCACTTTTCATATTCCAAGGATATGGATGGGTGCATGAATGTATTAGGAGTTGACTTCACTTGAGAGAGATGTTACCTCTTTAACTCTAGTAGAAGTGAGGCCATGGCATAAATGTGACAGTCATTGCAAAATTATCTACTAGGGTCTGTTTGCCAGCTTGCCCTCTTGAATGGAGTATCTGTAGCTGGTTGCCAAGGGGAGTGGCAAAGACAGAACTCACCAGCTCATTTTTAATATCAGGAAATCATTCAGAGCCCTTGATTTATGTTGACTTTCTAGCAGGCGGTATGGCAATTAAGTTAGATTAATGAAAGGTAAATTCCAGCCTCTCCATTTTTTTAAAAAAAAGGCCCTTGTAAAAGGGCCTAATTAGCATGTTTGTTTGTTTAGCCTCTAATGGCTTAATTGCAGCCTACCGTGCTATTTACAAATAGGCATCATTAGAGAGGGATAAGCTTGAGAAAACAAAGTGTAATGTTGGTACCAGCAGCTGAGGAAAGAGGTGGCTACCGAAAGAATGATTAGAAAAATAACTAGAAAGTAAGACGAAGGTTTTATCATGGCTGTTTATTGCACGGATGGGGTTTTCAGCCAATTAACGGGGCATAACAGGGAAGAAAAACATTGGCAGTGCAGCTCCTTTTGTGAGATTTAAACTGTTGGCTTCTTTGGGGTAACCAGGCAGAGTTTAAACATAACTCGGAGCCTTTGTGATCTCCTAAAGCGAATGAGATCCAGGTGTATCTCGCTGGTCAAGTAACAACCGGAATGATGCTTAGAGGAAGAAGTTTT